ATGCACCACTGTAGACATCTACTTTTGGCCTCCTGTCCCGACAGGAAGTGCGATGATGTTACAAAAACCCGTTCTTCATGCTAGATCAAAGTTGAAGTGTTTATGGACTCCAAAATTGCATTATGAAGTAAGTTAAAACTCGTATTTGAGACCAAGTTATCTTAGATCCTTGTCCAATTACTAATTAGGCCTAAAAAGCGCTCATACATGTTTCATCTTGATTAATTACGGACCTAAATGCTTCATATGCAATGATTAGATCAATTGGATCTTACATTGTTGAAAACCGATCCAATTAGATAAACCAACCATCAAATTTACGTGCAAGGCCTATACATCTGGATATCCCTTTCAAAGAGCTTTCCAACGGTATATTATAAGCCCAATTCCGAGTTAAAACGAAGAACTTATCATCAAAATACTAAACCGGGCCCTAAAACCAACACCCTTGCACTAAAACAGCCATATCTTTTGATCCATAACATATTTTAACCTAATTCTAATGGAATTGGAAAGTAGACATTCATAGCGTTCCAATGATATCTTATATGCCTTAATCCAACTTCGCAATCAAAATTTATGGAAGTTTTAAAAACGTGTTTTTGTATAAGGTAAACCGCACCGCGCAACTCTCAGAGTTGCGCGCGCCTGCCAAGCGCAAGTCAAAGAGTTGCGGTGGGAACTCCAGCGCGACTCTAAGAGTTGCGCGTGCCACTTGACGCCGCGGCTCTAAAACCCTAAACCTAGATTCCTATGCCTATAAATAGGGGTCTTAATCACGACGGAAACCCTAGCATTCTTAAATCCCTAATCTCTCAAGTTCTCTTACTATACACTAATTTTCTCCTCTCTTCCCAACTAATCTTCAACCCTTATCCATCCATTTGAAGTCCTTGGAGGTAGGAAGAAGAAAGAAGGTCCATAAACATATAAGACGAAGATCTAAGCAAGTATAAGAACGGTTAGTTTCCTGAGCACTTAGATAAATCACTTTTCTTTTCTTGTTTAAATAACTTTTAATCAACTAATTAGTGTTATTTGGTCACTCTAAAAAAATTAATAAATTAATTCACATAGTATTCTTTCGTTAATCAAGACTAGAATTTGAATAATTAATTGATTGTTTTATCACTTAAGCCAAGGCGAATCTTGTTTATTTTTGTTCTTTTCACAAATTTGAATAACAAAGAATAACGACATTCATTGCAATGTAATCTTTATGTGATCAATGTTTGTAAATAAAATCAACTAACTTAGTTTTAGGTATCACGTTGCATATATTGTTTGGTGATGAAATTGTGAAAAAGGAAGAGCTAGTAGAGGTCGCACTAGGGCTAGAATAGCGATTCCTCCCTAAAACGAACGTTATTTTAGTACCCTCGATCCCGAACTCATTTCTGGTACACGTAGACCAATTTGGGCATGGGTAAACTTATGATTCATGCTAAATATCCCTTGAACCCTACTTGGGAGAAAGGCATGAACGAGATTTATGAGTCATCCTAAAACTCATTGGCGACTCCTTATTAGTTTCTTATAAAAAAAGCGTAATGATAAAATCAACTCTAATTCAAGGTCCCCTAAACAGTCTGGAATTCAAATCCTAACACATCTTAAAAAGTGTAAAGTCCTAGGCTTTTAAAGAGCCATGGGCATAGAGAAGAAGGATCCCCAACGACGGGCACACCCTCCTCACAACCACAACTCCAAGAATGTCTGTATTAATAATCACAAAGTTAGTAAAGGCTTAAACATGTTAAACAAGGTTAATGGCATGCTAAATCAGAGAGTGAATATTACCAAAACAGTCATCTACACTTCTTGTTGGCGGCACTTCAGCAATAGGAGTGTATTTTGGCAAAATAGGACATGTGTTAGGATTGAGTGACTGAATTGTAGTTGACCCTCCAAATGACAAGTAGTAGTCACCTTCCTTGTTGCGATACATCAAATTGGTGTTTCTGATAGGTGCATCTGCAATGATGTACTCTTTCTCATGCTCTAATATATTTTAAAAATTCTTAATCTCATCATCAAATAGAGTGCCTCTGATTTTGTTACCCTACATGTACAACAGGGAAAAAAATAAGATTATATTTAACTCAAACATTTAAAATAAGCACTGAATGTTCATAGCATTATACCTCATCATCTTCAAAGACAAGTTTCTGGAAAGCCTTTTTGTTTTCTCGGTATTTTGCAGGAGACTTTTCCTTGACTGTAACTTTAATCTTGTATTTCTTGTTTTTGGGAGTTAGTTTGTCTATAGGAACGTATTGAGGCTTCATCTACTACAGTTGCATGTAAGAAAAGTTATTAAAGAGTGCTTGTCAATGTTAAAGGCTACACAATACATGGTAATGCAATAATAAAAAGGTGTTGCAGTGCTTAAAAGTGTAAGTTAACAACATGCTAAACTGATAAGATGCTTTGTTTAAGTCAGTATTTATATGCTAAGTGTACATTACTGGTTTATTTATAAGAATATTTTTTTATCATACAATGCAAACAACCTTTTCAAAGTAGTTAACTATAAGAAACTCAACAACTTTAATAGTGTAGACAACCATAATTATATCTAATTTGTACTGGTCAACAACATAGTAAGCACAAAAATAGATCCATCACAGTGAACTGCATTAAATAAGTCATGCTATTAAATTCAAGCAAATAAGATTTTACACGTAAGTTGTTTCATGTTCATAAGAGTTTCATTGCTAATTTTAATAGACATGTAATACAGGAAAGCACAACAGCAACCATACATATCAAGATGTGACAATGAATAAGATCAAAGAAAGCATACTAATAAATGCAAATAAGCAATAACTCAATAATTTGAAAACATGAGAACAAAGCCATTAATGCACTTACCTTAGCAGCAGGATATCAGAGAGAATAATCTGCAAAGAAGCTTCTCTCTAAAAGGGAAATGAGATGTACGTTTTGGAAGAGAAAATTGTCCTTTAAATAGAGCAAAGGAAACATTAAAATTTACTTATATCTATAGCTGATACGTTTTAATTGGCTAGAAAAGTAAACCTGTGCAATATCTACTGGAAATAAGCATGTGTTTATGCTATCTGGATAATAGTGAGTTTCACATTGCACAAGTTTTACAATGGTACAAGCAACCCAGCTTTACTCTACTTTCTTGAGACTTCTGACTAATGTGATTTTGACTCCTCCGTTGACACATAAAAATGTAAAGTATGGCAACTTTTTTTTTTTCCAAAATATTATAGAAAACCATTACTTATTTTATTTGTATTTTTTTTCTTAAGGCATTTTTTAAAATTTTACACCTTTGCATGTACTGCTTGTATTTTATTGTAGTGTGAATTGTATTCTAATTTTCAATTGAAGACTGTGACATTTAGTGGTAGAAAGAACATACAGCAATAAGCTAGAATAGGAGAGGTAAATATAATATGAAGTTTCTCAATAAAAATTCATTTTGAATGATTAAATACACAAATCATGTACGCAACAACTATAAATGGAGCAATTTAAAATGTCTTGGCTTAAATGGGCGTTGTAGAATTGACCAAAATAGGCTAAGTATCTCCAAAAGAACATAAAGTATTACAAGCATAACCTGTGAAGTCTAATGTTCTCACAAAACAAGCTGCATATACAAATCAATATCTGCAATGGCTGCAAAATAAAAAAGTAAGATAGAGTCAATTTAATAAACAATATAATAGTGTAAAAAAAATGATGTTATAATTTTATGTGTATAGTGGTATTGATGATGGGCCGGCTGAGGTTGAAACGAGGGAGCCCGAAATTCCCTCAAGCCGGCTGCTTGCTGTAACGTCCGGCTCCAATGCGGCTGGGGGTGGGATGACCCCTCAGCCTGAAAATCAAGGTATGGCTCTCACCTTTGATCCCCCCGGCCGCTTCGGCCTATGCGAGTCAAGTCCCAAGCTACCCAATCAGGGGATTCTTCAGGCAACCAGCAGAATGTAGGTGCCGCCTATGCTCAATTCTTAACCAATAAATCTGTTGATGCAGATGCCTCTTCTCGTTGGCTTGACCTCCAACAGTATGCCAAGAGGATGCTGAGGACCCTCACCCGGTCCGAAAAGGAGGCGGTGCCGGGTGTACACCAGGTCAACATTGACCGCATCAAATTAACTTGTGATGACTCCAACCATTCAATCAAGAACAAACATAACAATAATCAACACATACTTCCATTTCATTCTTGAATTAATTATTGAGCACATACAATTTATTTTAATTAAGGTTTCTTGCCTAGTTTTGTTCACAAAATTGCACTATTACTACCTTGGTGCATAAGATGCACTAATAAACTATAAGAGTTATGAAAGAAGTTGTAATTTCTCATTAAACGATTATATATATATATATATATATATATATATATATATATATATATATATATATATATATATATAATATAACTGGTAAGGGCTTTGGCTTAAGTTAGGCTATACATGATATCAATCAATCAATCACTAAGATTAAGGAGAGAATTAAGGCTAAATTATATAGAGTAAATTACTGACTAATATTCCTAGAATCAAGGTAGAGAATATTAACAAAATAATAGAAGATATTTACTTTGAGAAGATAAATTCTTAACACGCCCCCTCAAAATGGGCGGCCAAGATGAGAGACCGATTTTGCTTGTTAGAGTAGTGAAAGTTTGTCTTGGTAATGGCTTGAAAAGAGCATCTGCAAGTTGGTCATTTGGTTGAAATGTAAGAAACTAGGAGCTAACCACTTTGAACATCCTCCCTGACAAAGTGATAATCAAGAGCTAAGTGTTTCTTTTTGGAGTGAAACACCGGGTTTGCACTTACATAGGTGGCTCTGGCACTGTCACAATAGATGACTAGAGCTATTGTAACTTTATGACCAAGTTCCTTAAACAAATTTCGCACCCATAAGATTTCAGTCGTAGCATTTTCCACGGCTCGATACTCAGCCTCAATGGAGGACCTTGCTCTTGACCGTAGTTTTCTTGATGATCAAGAGATTGGGTTCCTGCCTAAGTAAACAATATATGGTGTTGTGGAGATATAATCATCCTTATCTCTAGCCCAATCAGAGTCGAAGAAATCATGGATAGTAAGAGGAGAGTTTTTATGCCAAGTTAAACCCATGTTGGATGTGCCACTAAGGTATCGTAGGAGGAGATGCAATGCTTGCATATGTTGATCAGTTGGTCTTTGCATATATTGGGCTAACTTATTGACTGTGAAGGCAACGTCGGGACGTGTTAGACCAAGATATTGAAGACTACCAATGAGTTGGCGGCATTGTGTAGGATCCGGCAGTGGCTCTCCATGAATGGACAAAGGAGGATCCGTGACAATGGGTATGGCAACTGGTTTGACTTCATCCATGTTGGCTTTGAACAAAATTTCATTAATATACTTCTTTTGACTTAAGAAAAGACCATTTGGATGGGGCATAACTTCAACGCCTAAAAAGTATGAGAGTCACCCAAGTCTTTCAAGGAGAAACGAGCAGCAAGTTGTTGAATAAAAGATTCCATGAATGATGATGTATTGCTTGTCACAATAATATCGTCAACGTAGACAATAAATGATGTTACCATTTTTGTGGAGAGTGAACAAAGAGGAGTCAGAGATAGTGTTCCTAAATCCCAAGTGAATCAAATGTTGGCGCAATTCATTGTACCATGCTCTCGGTGCTTGTTTTAACCCGTAGAGGGCTTTGTTTAGCTTGCACACATATGTATGATTATTAATTAGGATCACTATAACCCGGTGGTTAAATGGTATAAACATCATCAGTTAAAGTGCCTTGGAGAAAGGCATTACTGATGTCCAATTGGCGAAGAGGCCAACTTTGGGTAACAGCAAGGCAGAGAATAAGATGGACTGTTGCGGGTTTAACAACAGGGCTAAATGTTTCACCATAGTCGATTCCCGGCCTTTGATTAACTCCCTTTACAGCATACCTAGCCTTGTATTGAATGATATTGCCGTCTTTATCTTTCTTAATTTGAAAAATCCATTTGTACCCCACTACATTTTGTGAAGAAGAGGAGGGAACAAGATCCCACGTTTTATTTTTCACCAAAGCATTGATTTTGGCATCCATGGCTTTTCTCCACACCGGATTTTTGAGATCTTGTGTAATATTTTTCGGAACCTCAATATCAACAACCTCTACATTTAAATTCAATTTGTCAATTGGTTTCCTAATGCCATGTTGAAGTCGGGTGGCCATTTGTGGTGACAAAGGTGCATGGTGGTTCACATTTTGTGGTGATGAGGGAGGAGAAGGTGTGAGAGAGGCATGTGTGGGTGGAGTAGAAGGAGGTGTGTGGTCTGATGTTTCAGCAGTAGAAGGAGTGGTAGTGGGGTTATATAAGGAGTGGGGTGGGTTTGGTTTAGGAGTTAGAATGGGTAAGGTAAGAGGTTCCCATTTTTCGACCAATGATGAATGTGAAGGAAGAGAAATATTTTTCTCAGAGAAAGGGAATTTGTTTTCTATGAAATGAACATACCTATAAGTGTAGATACGATGAGAGTTTAATTCTAGACAATAATAGGCACTTTGTGTGGGTGAATACCCAACAAGGACACATGGTTTGGATTTTAATTCCAATTTATGAGAATTATAGGGTTTAAGAAAGGGGTAACAAAGGCAACCAAAGCTCCTTAGTTTACAATAGTTGGGTTGAACACCAAACAATTTAGAGTAGCACGATTCATTGTTTAGTGTTGGAGTCGATAGGCGATTAATTAAATAAGTGGTAGTGGAACAAACATGGGTCCAATATCCAAGAGGCATGTTGGCGTGTGTTAGTAAGGAGAGAAATGTTTCAACAACATGGCGATGACGACGTTCGGAATAGCCATTGTGTTGAGGGGTATGAGGAGGTGTAGTTAAGTGAGAGATACCATCAATAAAGAGGAATGTTTTAAGGGATTCATATTCACCACCATTATCCGAATAGAGAGATTTAAGGGGTAATTGAAAGTATTTTTCAACAAGAGCTTTATATCGGATGAATGTATTTTTGGCGTCGGATTTATTTTTAAGATTATATAACCAAATGTATTTGGTATAGTGATCCACAAAAATTATGTAATATTTGAAACCATCATAAGAGTAAACTGGTGAAGTCCATAGGTCGGTATAAACATGTTCGAGAGGAGCAGAAGAAGTAATGGAAAATGTAGAGAATGGAAGACGATAACTTTTATTACAAGCACAAGAATTACATTCTAGAGTAGAGATACTGGATACATTTAGTTTATTTTTAGAGATAATTTGCCTAAAGGCATATTGGGATGGATGTCCTAATCGGTGATGCCAATCAAGAGAACTAGTAGTTGTGCTTGTGTAGACCTTAGGAGAAGTGGTTTGGACTTCATAGATGCCAGACTTAATTTGCCCCTGGAAGAGAGATGCCCCCATTGTCAGATCCTTCACAAGAAAAGAAGTGGATGAAAAACTGATAGAAATATTATTATCTTGACATAATTGAGATATGGAAATAATATTTTTGGATATAGCAGGAACAACAAGAACATTGTTAAGTTTTAGAGAATTTGAGAAGATTATAGAACCAAAGTGAGTAATTTTTAGGCCTTTACCGTCACCAACAACTAGTTCTTCACTCCCATCATACAGAGTGTGCATAGAGAGATTGTTCAAGTCTGCTGTTACATGGTGGGAGGCACCACTATCAAGAATCCAGGTGGAAGAGGATGATGTAGCAAGATTAGTAGTGTTGGCTTGTGGCATAGGAGTTGGACGGTTGTTGTGTGGTGGTGGTGTAGCATTAGGAAACTGTTGTTTTAAAAAAATTGCAATGAGCAACAACATGACCCTGTTCACGACACCATTGGCATTTGCCGAGAAAAGGTCTTGATTACTTAGTATGGTTGTTGGGAGTTAGAAGAATACCTGTAGTATTGGTACGATTGTTGTTTTTACCGTAGGTACGGAAGTGAGGCCTTGTTGACACTGCAAAGGCAGTGGCAGGAAGTGAGGGATCGGTATAGCTTTGCTGCAAGGAGAGCTCCTTGTTGATAAGTTTCTCGTGCAGTTTCTCAAATGAGATGGGTGTATCCCTAGCATCACTGATTCGATGACTGAGTTGTAGGAGTCATCAAGGCCAAAGAGGACTCGATTAATTAAATCCTCGTGTTCAAGCTTCTTGCCCAATGAGGCTAAACGATCGGCACAAGTTTTGAGAGATTGCATATATTCAATGATGGATTGACCACCCTTGGTGATGCGATTTAGTTGATCCTTGATTTGTTTGATGTGGCCACGAGTAGGAAGAGCATAAGTGCGTTTGAGAATGTCCCACAGCTGCTTGGAGGTATGAGCCTCAGAGACCAAGGGAATAAGGTTTGGTGATAATGTGCCGATTAAAGCACCAAAGAGAAGACGATCTTGGCGAGTCCAAAAAACATGATCTAGGTTGGGTTCCTCTTCACCACTAGAAGAGGTGATAACAGAAGGAGGGCATGGAAGGGAGCCATCAATGTATCGAAACAAATCATGGCCGACGAGTATAGCTTCGATTTGAATTTTCCAAGAAAGGTAGTTTACAGGGGTGAGTTTGATAGTGGTCTGGATATTGAGAAAAGTGAAAGGTTTGGTAGGGTCATTCCCATTGGGAATTTGATAAGAAGGAATATAGTTTGAGTTGACCAATTTGGTTAGAGAAGAAAGAAAAATTAAGTGGAGAGAGGAGATCGGTAGGTTGATACCATATAAGAGTTATGAAAGAAGTTGTAATTTCTCATCAAACGATTACATATATATAGTATACAACTGGTAAGGGCTTTAGCATAAGTTAGGCTATATAAGATTACAATCAATCAATCACTAGGATTAAGGAGGGGATTAAGGTTAAATTATATAGAGTAAATTACTGACTAATATTCCTAGAATCAAGGCAGAGAATATTTACAAAATAATAGAAGATATTTACTCTGAGAAGATCAATCCTTAACATAAACTTCCTTGACTCAATCTCAACTTACATGAGTGAATAAATAAATAAACTAACTTCTTGACTCAACTCTAATAATATATGGGCGAGAATAAAATCATGAATCATGCTCAATAATTCTAACTTTAGCTCTTATAAACATACATAAGTCTTGCTTATTAAATTCATTCTTCCTTGACACTTAAAAATAAAACATACTTACATGATTCACACATATTCAACATGTATCATGCCTCAAATAACATATTCAAATGCTTGCATAATAATTCATGATCAACCAACATCCAATCCAAGCATTTAATCAACCAAACATTCTACTAATTCATCACTTGAAACATACTTTACTTCCCTAACATGATATTACGCATACACAAATATTTTTATGCGCATACGTACCTTGGAATAATGCCTAAACTCAGCCACACTCGCTAGAAATCACCTAGCTCAAAGCTTCCTACAAATAAAAATACATAACCATAATTAATCTTCTATTCTCACAAATTTCCAGCAACAATAATATACTTTAAACCTCACTAATTAACCCAATTTAATGGGTTAAAAGGCTTAAAACCTTTTTTTTAAGTGGGTACTTAAAACTCTTTCAAAAAGACTTACTTTTCATGACTTAAATAAAATTTTAGCATACTTATTTATTATAAAACATCACTAATCAACTAGAAAATCATATTTAAATCATTAAGAACCTTTTTCCTTTTATGGGTAATCAAACCCTAACATAATAATTAAAAAGTAGTGTGTATAATTAAATTCCAACATTAATTGAGGGCTTAAAACTCATTAAAAACATGTTATAATCATTAAGTTAACAACCACAACAACCTAGAATCAAAGCCTAATCATAAACATTCAATATCCAAATTCTAGGGATTGTATATTGGGATTTTAATCAAATTAAAATCTGAAAATTATAAGAATGAATTAACAACATCAACTACCCAAAGATAACATCAAAATATAATTAAAATCATGCCTTGAATTTATTAAAACAAACTTAGAAATTAAATTAGGAGAAAGAGAGTTTTTTTTTTTTGTACCAAAACCAAAAAGAGAGGAGAGAGACCATAGCCGGCTGGTGGTGTCGGTTGTTGCTGCTGGCCGCTGGTGGCACCGGTGGTTGATAGGAGGGGAGAGGCGTGATAAAGAAAGGTAAAAAAAAGAGGAAAAAGGAGAGAGAAAAATAAGAGAAAAAGTTTGGAGTTTTGTAAAATTTGACAAATTTGATTTTTAAGAGTGAAATTGTTGAGTTTTTTTGGGTATTTATATCCCTTTTTAAAAAAAAATACTTATTTATAAAACTGTCATTACTAATCTCATCCCTCCTTGAATTCTCCTTTGGGGCTAACTTGTTGGGCCCTTAAAAACTCTTTTACTCCTAACAAGTTAGCCTAATACTTTTATTGATGTTGGCCCAATTTAAAACACTTCATTGCCCTAATTATTAGCTCGTATTATTTTATATACACTTATTTTATATTTAAATAAATAATTCATTTAAAATGAAATGAATCATTTTAATTTATAAATAAAATAATTAATTTATATATATATAATATTATATAAATACGGAGTATTACATAGATCATAAGATATCAAGTCCGAAATATCAGGGGAAGCATAAAACTTTCAAGAACTTCAAGAAGGAGAAAGAAATGAGTATTATAATTTATGTCATAACCTTATTTTTTCACTTATTATAATTATTTTCTTAAAATATTTTTGAATTAATCTAGGTGAGGAAAATATAAATTACTCATGCCTCAAATTAATATCAATCTCTCCCTTAAAAAGAAAACGTATATGTATCATTTTAAACCGATTTATCTTCCTCTAAGTTTTCTTTATATCCTATGACTTTATGAAAGGAGCACTATAATTAAGTAAGAAATTATTTCATTTTAGAATAGAATATCTTATGCATTTTAAAGAACTTTTATTTAAACTTTAACTCCATCATCGTTCGGAAGAGCAAAGTTTCCTTATGCATTTCTTAATAAGAAGACAATTAATTTTTGACTAAGTAAAATACGGCTATGCATGCTTGTATCATCTTAGTAATAAAATAAAATCTTTCGATTTATGGTTTATGGCCTACATTTAAACAAGAGGGTAAAATTGAATATTTAATTATGACGGGTTACAAGTTGATCTATTTGCCATAGAGAATTATACTTTTAAGTTTCATTGCCTCCGATAGATCGTTTATGTAGTCTAACATGATCAAAATTTTCAATTCATCACCTATTATTTAGATTTAGGCCATATAGAATGTCCATTTTGCATAGGTTAATTTCATACTATCCCAACACATTTCCTTTCATATTCCTCTCAATTCGTATCAAACAAAATGCCATTAAATCCCAACTTACATAAGTTGGTCAATCCAAAAGTCGTCAATCGAAACACATCTTATAAAAAAAAAAAAAAAATTCTCCTCAAAGAATTTTCTATGGTGTCACTAATTCTAGTGGCTTCTTCAACCTTGATAGATTGACCTCCACCTTGAAAGCAAGATTGCTCAGTTTCATTCAAATGATCCTATATGGATCAAACCCCCCCCTCTCCCCCCCCTCCCCCCTCCCAAAAAAAAAAAAAAAACCTTTTTCAAAACCTTGTATGAAATTTTAAGACCATGTTTAGATGGACATTTGCTAGAATTATCTATGGTTTTGATCCAGGAGTGGATTCAAATCCCATGATGAACGACAACTTTAATGCTCAAGCCTACCATATATCGTAAGGTTTATTTATTTTTATTTTGCATTTGAATGTGATTGAAGATCGGGAAATTTAAGTGTTTTTGTGTATTATTAATTTAAGAAAAAGTATGTGAATAACCACAACCAAGTAACAACGTATTAGTAAGAGCTTGCTCTATAGAACAGAGGAAGAGACGAGTTCCAGACGTTCGATCTTCCTAACTTATACCCCGTTCCTAGATCTTTAATTTCACAAGATCATTCTTATATAATGCGTCACCTAATGGAGTGAATGTCGTTTTCTATTTGGAAACGATCTTATAAAAAACTGTCTCTATTCGGGGAAAAATAGAGTGACAACTCTAATTTCTTTTTGTCTAGTCAAATTATCGACTTACGCGGGATTTTGACTTTTAATCTAAATTAGTAAAAAAAATAAAAAAAAATAGGTACCACATCTGGCATAGTTTCTCTTAAGTAATTAATTTTCAAGGATTTCCCTTTAACTTATTTCAATTTAGTTTGGGATTTAATAAATATTCATTTTTTTTTCATTTTGTAAGATCAAATGAAATTATTACAAAACAACACTGACGCATATAACACAATAAGCAACACATTTTAAGAAAAATAATTTAAAAGTAATACCTCATGCATCGAACGAATCAAAAAGACAGTAATATTCTTAAAACTCAATGGAGCAATATGGTATTATTGTCATGTGTCATCTTTCCCTCACCATGACCTGTCACCACATGAATAATGGCATGACATGTCCATAAAACCTTCCATTTCAAACAAAAATAACTTAATGTCTAAACTTTATTATTATTGAGAAAAATTGCCCGGAATAATCCGACCTTTGCCTTATTCGCCCAAAATAAATCCCACCTTTCGATTATTTTTTAATAATTCGACCTTTAATTTTAATCCGCTTTAAATGGTCCCAACCGGTCATTTAACTTGTTATAGCATGTTAGAGCTTGTTTAGTTCACCTTTTTTTTTTTTGCTTATCTGATCTGTAGGCGTCGCACGAAGTGCGCCTACATGGAGCATAGGCGAATATGCTTGGAAATCATAGGAAGTTGGATTTGACATATAACGATAGGGACAAAAAATTAGGGAGCCGCCAACAAGTTTTTAAGGAACTTGTAAACCGTTTATGGATTATTAAAGGCAACCACGAAAAGGGACAAAACCGAAAGCGACAACAATTTGATTCATGAAGGTTACACCCCATTCATAATCCATGAGATTACTAACTCCATAGTGAAACTGAACCATAACTGGATATTCCGGGATGATGGCACAGATTGCGTCATGAACTCAATGCCGCCCGTATTGGCCTCCACTCGATTCTTATAGTGACACGTATTAACTGCAACCCAAAACACATACATGCAAACAATATTCAATTTGCTCCAAACTAATTAATCTAGGTCGACTGAATATTTAATGCATACATAAATCTAATTATTGTGACAACTTGAATTTAGCAACAAGATTACTAGGAACCTAAACCGGTTGTCCAAATTATCTTATTAGGCGTGATTTTCAATTACATATTCCCAATTAAACATGCAATATAGGTGATCAAAACAAATAGAACAAATTAAAACCAAACATATAAATATTGGAAGCAACTCAATAATTATAGAACGAATTAAAAGCATCCTAAACATGATATTATATAATTATTAATAAAATCCTAGGCATGATACTAACAAAATTAATATAAAGCCTAAACATGATACTAATAATTAAAAATAACGATCCTAAACATGATGCTAGTAAGAGTAAACATTGTAGAATTAATTAAACAAAAGAATAATCAAATCTAGCTACTTACTTCGATTGCGAAACCTTGCAACTACATCATGAATAAACGGTAATTAACTTCAATAATAAATCGAAATATACTAAATTAAATTAATTAAAGAAAACAAATTAAATCGAGTTTAGATTGAAACCCTCAGGGTTTATGATCAACCTTTCACGCCGTGGACCGCCGATAGAGCTTCGGGTGAAGTATTGATGTCTAGGAGCACTCGGAGGAGGAATTTTGAAAGATTATGTGAGAGAGATTGAGATGTCTAGAGCATAAGAGAATATGCAAGCAGAAAACGGTGCTTGTAACCCACGAAAGGCCACGGTATTTATATAAAAATAGACGGGAAAAAGATAAAAATTAAATTGCCTAAACCAGAAAGACCATGCGCCATCTCGGGATCATCGAGTGGCGATGATTTGCATCGCGCCACGATACAATGCGTTGCGACGCGATGCAACTTGGCGTGATGATGCAAATGTCGGCTACATCGCCACGCGCCAGATTACATCTTTTTGAGTTTTATTGAAATTAGTCTTTGTACGTCCTGGTATACAAAAATTCATCTTTTTCAATACGATTTTGAACGCGTTTAGACCTTTAGAAGATTATTTCAAACTCAAATTAATTTATGATTTAGATAATTTTTAGAAAATTGAGTTGGAAAATAAGATTAAGAATGAAAATAAGAATAAAGATGAAAACTAATGGATTGGGCTAAGATTAAAATAAATGTGGGCTACAAAAGTTAGATTAAATGGGTTTTAAAATAAAATTAAGTACTCCTTTATTCCAATACTAAACCCGAACCATATGGTAATGAAAGGCAACCCTCATCATCGGGTTTCAGTCAGAGAGACATTTTTAGGTGTCTACATGATCTGATTTGATCTGGTCCGATCCGATCAGATCTGATCTGGTTTGATTAGATTTGATCTGATTGTCTGATTTGACCAAACTTTGACCGTATGTGTACGACAATCTATAAAGAAAAAAATACATCAAGTGGGGTCTTATTAGATTTGTAATAATGTGTATTTTATTAAAGCGTATTTTATTAAAATGTAATTTTCATACTTTTTTTCATTACGAAATTAAAGATATTTAGCGATAAAAAATCGCACATAAAATGATGATCTGATCTTAACTTAACTTATTTTTTCTGAAATAAGTAAAAATAAGTTGAATTAAACAAGGCCTTACATGACACATGTCGACATCTGATTGGTAAAAAAAAATTTAAAGAAAAAATAAAAAAAATTACCTAATTAATTAAAAAAACCACCCCCACTTGCCAACCACCCTCCCCCTCCTTCTGACCGCCGACTCCCCTCTCCCCTCCCCCGAACCACCAAACACCCTTGAAAAAACCCTTCCCCATCCCGATCCTGACCTCCCTCCCCTTCTACCACCATGTTTCCGACCCTCCCCTTCCCTTGTCCTTTTTCCGCCCCTCCCCACAATTTCGACCCCCTCCCCCCCCCTTGTCAGCGCACACACCATCATTGTTTCGGTAATGGGTCCAGTGGTTTAGAGGCGACGAAAGGGAGTTGAGGAAGGGCGGCGACCGGCGCAGAGGAGCTGGGGTCTAGGCGCGGCGGCGAAGGGCCTGGTCTGGGCCGATGATAGGGGTGGGGAGGTGGTGGTGGTTTTAATTTTTCTTACATTTTAATTATTTTTAAAAATGTTAGTTTTATAGTGGTTAATTAATGTTAATCAGTAATAATCATTTCTTTAAAAAAATTAAAATTAAAACTTATTTTTGACCAATCACGTTGTGACACGTGTAAAAAAAAACATAATAAAAAAATTACCTACTTAACCGGGTTCAGGTCGCTTGGGACTATTTAACGCGGATTGACATTAATGGTCGGATTATTAAAAAAATAATCGAATGTTGGGATTATTTGGGCAGATGAGACAAAGGTCTAATTATTATGGGCAATTTATCCTTATTATTGTGTCTATTTAGCCACCCTAATAATATTACCTTACTATTTAGCAATGATTAACTTATACTAATACTTTGTAATTATTTTTTGTTACATGTATTATATGTTATTTCTTAGGAACAATTGATATTAACAATCCCAATTTTGCTCCATTTTCTTTTAATAATCTCAACTTTGGATTATTCAGGAATTATTCCAACTTTGGGGGCTGTTTACTTTCTTCAATCTCAATGGCCGGTTACCTGTTAAATAGGTTTTGTTTAAAAATTTTTCTTTAAATGATACGTGTTGTAAGTGAATTGGTTAAATTTTTTTTTTTTAAAAAATACAAAATTAAATGAAAAAAAACCACCAGCTAAACCCTAACTTCCAACCACTGAAACCTTGACGCCGGCCGGCTGCCGCTATTCCCCCTTTCCCTTGCGCCGGTTTCTCCCCTTCCCCTACGCTGGTGATGCAACTCATCCCCACCGCCCTCCATTTCTCTCTCCTCAGTGTTCCCAATGAAATAGGCACCGCAGTTTTCGCACCGATTTTTGAAAACCGGTGTTAAAAGAAATGGGCGGGATTGGGGAAAAGACTTTTCGTACGGTTCCAACCAAACCGGTGCGAATTAAAAAAGAAAAAAAAGGGAAAATAAATGTCGCGCCGATTCAAACCAAACCGGTGCGAAATAATCTATTACCACCGGTTCAAACCGGTGTGAAATTAAAAAAAAAATCGATCTTTTTCTTTCTTTCTTTAATTTCCCCTGCTATTTTCATTATTCTGTTTTCGTTCCCTCGTTTTCGCCCTTCTCTTCCACCACCTCCTAAGTTTCACCTTTCTCCATTGAAGCGGTTTCTGAGCTTTCTCACCTCCATTGAAGCAGCTGCACCTCCTTCTCTCTCCATATCTCTCCTCCATTGAAGCTCGTGCTCTTTATTCTCCATTGAATCGGATTCTGAGCTTTCTCACCTCCATTGAAGCAGCTTCGAGGTAAGATTTTATTGTGGTGTTTTTAAACTATCGAATTCCTTCGCAATCTAGGGTTTTTCGTTGATTTGCTTTTCAGTTTAGTAATTTTAGGGTTCTTGTAATCTACGGTTTGTCATTGCAAATTTTTTATGGGTATTACTTGTTTTAGTGGTTGGGCTGCGGTGGTATTTGGTGGATGAATTGCGGGTTGTGAGGGAGCAGGGGAGTTTGGTGAGGTGTGGCAGGTGTGGACGTGTGGTGTGGGTTGGATTGGTTGATTGGTTGATTGGTGAATGGTGAAGCAGGGCCTGCTGGTTTTGTTCGGTGAGTGTGGCTGCAACAGCTCCCCACCACTGCCGCACCAGACACCACCTCACCACTCCTTCCCCTTTCCCCACCTGCCTTTCCCAGTTTCCCTGCCCACCTCCCCTTCCCATCCGTCGCCCCCTCGAACTAAAGCCCACCCCTCGTCCAAACCTGCAACCTCAATCCGGCCAGCCTCCTTACCCACCGCAACCCTCTTAATTTCGATTTGGGTTTTCTGGGTTTGGGTTTCACTTTGGGGTTTTCTGGGTTTGAATTTCTTTTAGGTAGTCAATGGGGAGGCAGTTTCGTGGGGGGTTTAGGGGTTTCGTGGGTGGTCAGGGTGGCTGCGGTTGTCGATTTTTGGTAACGGGTGGTCACACAAAACCCAAAATCGAGCACACTTAATTTCCAAACCTTTTCTTTTCTCATTATCAGAGTATATTGGTAATCTTGTGAAACTTCAAATTTTAATGGTTTATTACGTGTACCATTAGATACATACTCCCTCTGTCCCTTTCACGGTCTTAAACGCGCGTCAAACTTCATTTTTATATATTTAAAAATTATAAAAACTTGATATTAATAAAATAGTCAATGAGACAAATCCAACAAGACCCCACTTGACTATATTATCTCTTATAAATTAATGAGAGTGTATGATCAAGATTTTAAAGTTTGACTCAATTATTTGGATTTAAGCAAAAAAAAGAGGGACAAAGGGAGTACATCACATTAGTATCATTAAAATAGAGTTTTATGGACATGGTAAATTTCAATGGTACTAATGTGGTATATGATAATATCATTAAGACTCCAATGATACTATACATATTTTTAATTATACACAAAAAATACCATTGAAATTTAAAATTTCACAATAAATAACCAAAATACCCCATGGTGCATGACGGGTAATCATATACCGTTGAAATATAAAATTTCACAGAAAATAACCAAAATGACCCGTGCTATATGACGGGTAATCGGGTATGGGAGTTTGGATTGGGCGTATGGGCGAGGGGGTATGAGCTTATTTTTGTCATCAATCAGTATCTCCAAAAGTCCAAAACAGTACATCTTTCCTAGTTCTTCTTCATCATTCTTCTTCATCTATCATCTTTCACATCAGCAGTAGTGATACCACCAATCACCAAACGCAAATTCTTTCAATTACAACCCAAACCCCCAAATTCTATGTGCTTCAATTTTTATCCAAGATGAAGAATTAATTGGTTTTGAAGCAAATATTAAGCAGAAAGTTGGACAAAGTAAGCGATAAAATGGTGGTGAAGCAGCAGCTTATGGCATCAAAAATTGGCATTGATGGCGGAGGATTACTTCCATTGTTAGCTGTTCCTTCTTCTGTCCGCTCAAATCCCACTTTACCCAGACGCCAATTTTCTCTCTCATGTAATAATTCTCTCTCCTTTTTCTTTTGAATTTCATGTTTTAATTGCTGTTTAATATTACTGTGTTTTTGGATACTTAATACTAGTAATCTCTTTGTTTAAAGCTCAATTGCCTCAAACCTATCAAAGTTTTGCTTTTGTATTTTTAACATGTGGGATTGTTTGTATAACTGAATATGGTTTGTCTAACGTGCGCCCATGGGCACTTGTAAATTCGGCGAAGATAAACCCGATAGAAATTAGTTTAAATAGAGGAATGGTGAACCCTGAATCAAAAAGGGAAGTCATTTTGGTTTACAAAGAATATGATTTGGTTAGAAAAAGATGAGGTGTGCCATTTATTGGTAAATGCGCAGAATAGCGTGTTAATGTTTTCATAATGCAGATTAGACAACTGCATTCATGATTTTATACTAACGGTTCATTCACTAAGGCCTTGTTTGGTTTGATGTAAAACATTTTCAATGGAAAATTAGTTTTATGAAAAATATATTTTCAAGTAAAAGCACATTTGCAAATAAGTTTTCCTTAGTTTGGTTGTATATGAGGAAAATTAAAGAAAAATCAAAAATAGGAATGGGAATGTGAGGATAGATAAAAGGAAAGTAAAAGGGAGGTAAGGAGGAGGGATGAAAATGTGCTTCCCTTGTTTTGTAAAGGAAAATGTTTTTTATCGTTAAGGATGCAATTTTCCACCGTTGGGAATATTGTTTTCCACCCCTTCACAAACCTAACAAAGAAAAATGGAAATAAAAGGGAAAATCATTTTCCATGAAAACATTTTACATCAAACCAATCAGGGCCTAAGTGTCTTTCCTGCCTTGATTTTGTTGACGCACAAGTGATTATGCAAAGTCTCGGTCATAAATTTGATGCATGAGCATAATTGGAACTGAAAATCTTTAAGACCATCCAACATGTTTGATATCTACAACCTAGTACATGGACAAAGATGCAGGTAAATAATTACTATCTTGCTGTATGCTCTACAGCATTTAAACATAGCATCTTCATATGTGAATATCCGGATTTAACTTTTAAGAGGTGTTGGTAGACTTCGAGTAATGAAGTTTCGGGTCAAGTATCTCTAAAGGAAAATTAAGTAAGAGCATAATGTTAATGTTGGAAATGACTCTTGTGACTTGTGAGTGATCATTTCTTGTTTACCTTTGTTCATTCTGCCTACCATTCTCCTCTTGTAGGTGACTCAAAAATTTTAAGCTACCCTTTTATAAACACTTTAGGAATTTTTGCTGCCTAAAAATTCAACAAAACCATCAGCTTTGGCATCCTAATAGATTTTGACATTACCGAATTCTTGGGCCTTGTTTATCAATTTGATATCATTGTGCAGAAGGTAGTATATTCAATTAGCACTTAGAAGACTTTACTAGTAACTAGTAAGCTGGGTTAGTAGGTTTGCTAGCCGTAACGCCCGTAAGTAGACTATATAAACGGTGTTTGGTGATTAGTAAAATAATAACTACGTGGTCTACGCCGGCTTTCACTTTTGAAATCCAGAAACTGAAATGCTGGAAGAATGAGCGTTTGCAAATTAGCGTACTTGGGACCAATATACATAGTAAATATTCTCTCAATCTAGTTTTGTCTATGGTAGGTGATTGCTTCCATAGCTGTCCTATGTTCTCTCCACTCAATTCCCTCTTTACCCACATGCCTCTATCTCATATAATTTCTCTCTCCTCTTTCCCTATTTTCTAACGTGTACATTTTTCCTGCTCTTGAATTGATCTATCAGTTGGGATTCAATTTTACTTTTTGTTTTGAGGATACTTCTTTAGTTGGTGTTGAGGTTATTCTTATGCTAACCCTCCAAGAAGAAAAAAAGGTTTCTTGTGCTAAATATGTAATCATCCCTTTTTTGCTTCTTGAATCTTGAGTAGGAATTAGCTCTTTGTTCTACACCTAATTATTTAATCGAGCTTATGAGATCGTAATAGATGATTTGAATAATTAGGGGTTACATTATGTTGGGTTGGTGAAGGATGTGTTAGCCTGAACAACCTGGTTATTTGGTGAGGCTATTGAAGAAAACAAGGGAATTTCTCGATGGTAACCCTTCGGTTCTTTAACCAAAAAAAAAAATAAAAAAATAAAACAAAACAAACAAAACCCTTCGGTTATACATGAACATGTGGCTTAATAAAGGTTATTTCCTTTATAAATTGTTTTTCATTTGTGTCTCTTTAAAAACCTGAATGAAATAGGATTTCAATGAGAAACGAAGGAATAACAATTTTTTCAAAGGAAACTTATGTCATTTTATTTTTTAAAGAACCTTAATTAGTTTGAAAACAAACCTTTTAGCCAATTTTTAGAACGGAAAAAAGTTATTAATATCACATTTTTCAAGTACAACTAAAATCACAGGGTTACCCATTGAGAATTAAAATTAAGTTTGGTTACCAAAGAGAAAATCCAAAACATATGATCATTGTACTTCAAGTAGTTCTGATCCAAAAAAGTTATTAATATCATGAATTATGTTATTAGAACAATAGAGTTGTTTTTTTTTTTCAAGTAGTTCTGATGCTAAATATATGGCTCTTATAATGGTTATTGTTAAGAGTGATTAATCAAATTTGCACGAAAATAAGGAAGTTAGCTATAACCAATTATCAAATGTGTTTGAAAAATTAACTACCAGCTTGCTATCCAAGTACTCCATCCATTCTTGAAAGTTTGACTTGCTTTATGTTTTGGTCTGTCTAGAAAGCAAGACTCAATTTTACTTTATTCTATTTTTGGCAATCTCATATTACTAGTTAACCCCCCTTTACTCCACTCCACAATTTATGCACCTTTCCAATTTACAATTACTCTCTTACATTATCCAATTCTTTCTTACACCTACCTACCTTTTTACTCCAGCTCTTTTACTCTAATTACCTTTTTCATGCACCCACTCACTTTTTCTTAACTTTCCTTGTAGACAAGAGTTGTACATTGAGTTAGTAGGCTTGTTGGGAGAAAGTAATCATATACTTGGGCTGTGTTGTCATGTAGACTTCACTTGCAAAAATTGAGTTAGTAGGCTTGTTGGGAGTATGTTGACAACCATCTAAAAGGTCTTTAGTATGTTAGCAATTTGACAATTACATTGGCTTTTACTTTTGAATTATAGTAATTGTCATGTTGATAGCTTATAGGAAGTGCTTTAGAAAATTAGCATATTGTGACATTCATGCTGATAAGTATTCACTCCATCAAGCACGTCAATTGCCATATTTAGGTGATCAAACATGCAAATTGTTCCCACTTTACCGATAGCAAAGTAGTACTCCGTCAAAACGCTGAGCACCTCCTTAGCTTAGTTGGGATAGCATCTTTGCCTCATTTACTCATGGTTTCACTACCTTATATTCTCTTAACCTAGTATAAAGATGAAAGGAAAAAGTATTGGCAAAAAATTACACCTGGTGACCAACTTTAAGGTGTGGCTATATATATTGAATCTAACTTCTACGACCCGTTGGATTTACACCAACTTGCTACGAAAAGAACAAAATTTACATGAATAACATTATATTGGGACCTATTAGCCAGAAAGTTATTTTTTACCATTTAAAAATCCTTTTAAGCATTTTAAATAAAAGGTGAATATATATTTAATGAATTCAATCACCTAAATAAAATTTAAAAAATACCCCAACTAAGGTAAGTTTGTATGTGCTTAAAAAGTTCCTGTGTTTTAACTCATTGAAATAATCTTCTCACTTTTTATTTTAATTAAAAATACTAAGATTTGTTTTAAAATGGCATCAAAACAACTTTCTAGCAAATAGGTTGCACGCTGGTTTAAATATGTCAACTTTGTTTTTAGCTAGTTGGAACTATTTGATGATTGGCACAAGCTAGAGTCAATAAATTTAACACACCCAAAGTTGGTGTCAATGAATGTACCATAAGTATATCATTAAATGTGTGTTGTTTTCTTGTTTGATTTATACAGAAAGACCCATGGTTACTCATAAAAGTTGGAAGATGCATAAATTCATAAAATCTTTGTCTGTTCCATTTTTTTGGTGGTACTTTTTATTTTTATCCATTCTTTTTGTTGGTTACACTTTTTCTTTTATCCTATTTTGGCAGACTTTCCTCGCATTAACTCATCTACAACCACTCTACTCTTTCTTAACAAAACCCACTTACAACACTATCTCTCCTACTCTTAATACACATATCCCACCTTTCACATTCCCTTTCCACCTCTCATTGGTCTATGGTATGCTCATGAAGTATTACTAACATATAAAACCGAAGGCAGTCTTAACTGATAATCCTATCATAGTTTTGAAATTGTGAAAGACCGTAATCTACTTTTGCCAACCTCTTATATCTTCTCATGTGCATTCATTTTGTTTCTGTGATTAGTTTAGTTGTCTTTGACATGTGTGGTTGGAGGGTCGAGAAGGGTGTAAAAATAGTTGTAGAATATATTGGATAGGAGGATAGTGTTATATTGTCTGCTTCTGTGCCCTATTACATAAGAGACATTTAAGGCTGTGAATATTGTTTGTTATATTTGGTGATTTTCATTTTCAAAATGCCTGAGTTTTTTGAGTGTGACCATCAATGTGTCCAAATGCCGATATGTATATCATTATAGGACACTCCTATATGCCATTATACAGTCAATCTTGGTAACGTTGATGATGTTTTAGTGAACTAAGGGCAATGTACATGTTTTGACTTTGGTCTTTAGTATCTATATTTTTTTGTATGAGTATCATATTTAATGAAGAAGGGACCAGAATTTTGTAGAATTCGATAATATCTGACTGAAAGAGCTTGGTGAAGCAAGTGGAACTAATTCCATGTTTGAATGATGACCTGTTAAGAGATCAAAGCTGTACCATGGCCTATAGGTGTCTTTCACTTCTGATATGGTCCGCTATTTACTTGAAATATTGTGTTTTTCTTGTCAGGACGTTATGTTTCTCCTTTTGCTGCTGAAATGGTGAGACTTAGTTTGTCCTTGCCTTTTGACTGTGTAATTGGTGGCATACCTACATTTTCTATACCGACTCTCATAAGAAACATTAATTTTTACTGAGAATCCTCAATTTGTGTTGACATATTCTTATACAAACCTAGTCTCTGGAATTCTAGGTTTTGGTATTTACACATTGATACACTAAATTTTGATTGATAAATAAATGTTTTTTATGTTTTGAAGTAAAACACAAGGAAACAAGGAAGTTCAAATCAGTCTTCAGTCCAGTCCAAAGCCAGGCCTCAAATGTTGGTGTTGGATCAAGTGACTTTGATGGAAGAGAGGAGTTTAATAGTCAGAATATATCTTCAAATGGCTCATCCACTGAAAGTTCCTCTCAAATGTAAGTATCAGTTGTCATTGTTTCAAGCTTGCAACCAATTAAGCTTTTATTTGTAATCTTTATGTCATAAAAAGTTTGTATCAGTTTTCGTTGTTGCAAGTTTGCAACCAAGTAAGTTGTTGTTTGTAGTCTGTATGTCATAAACAGTTGTGTTTATGTGAAAACACGTATGACTGATAGGCATCACCTAATAATAAATAAGCCTATAGTCCACTAACAAGGTGGTGAGGGAAGTAGGGTCGTACAATGTCTTTTTGATCCTATTATATATGCGGTCTAGTGTTTTGATGCTGGAATAATTGAAACTAAGACAATAATTGAATAGGGAATAATCAATACTAAGGTCTTGTTTGGTTGACAACATAAAATGGGGAAAGTGGAAATTCATGGAAATTGATAAGTTGGATAGTTGTTTGGTTGACATACAAAATCAAAAATGGAGGAAGTGGGAATTCATGGGAATTTCAACTTCCTACAAAATATGAAAAGTAAATTACCAAGCCCCCCTTGGTTAATCAGGTTTTATGGGAATTTGAAACTCCCCCCCCCCCCTTGTCTTCCCCAATTCTTCACTTTCTCTCTCTACTTTCCAAACCCTAACTTCTCAACTTACATACTTTAAATCTCTCACCCTTTCTTCATCTCTCAAATTCTCAAACTTTGTTAAATCTACTATCTTAATGCACTGTATTTTATCCTCGTTCTCTAAAGTCTTACAAGTTTCTAATATTCCAAATAGAAAAACTTTCAAGAACTCAAATATGGCACCAAAAAGGTCAAGAACGGGTTTGAGAGTTCGAGATAACCACAATCGGAGATTCAACAAGACCCAGACTAGATTTTTAGGACATAGTCATCGACACTGCAGACTAAAGGGTACTTCTCGATCATTATTAGTTTTAAAAAGCATAAGGCACACAGGGAGCCTAGGCACTAGGCACAAAGCGCATGCACGCGCCTTCCATATATGAGGCACCATTTTTTTTTTAATTAATTTATTTATTTATATACTGCTTTCTAAGTATTAAATATGTCCAAAAAAAAAAAAACTCAAATTTAATCTTTAAAACTGATTTACAATAACCTGGTTTTTTTTTTTTTTTTTTTTTTTTTTTTTTTTTTTTTTTTGTAAAAACAATCAGAAAGAGAGGGAGTTTAAAGTTGAAAGTTCTAGATCCTCTTAGAGGGTAAAAAAAAAATTCATAATTGTCAATTAATTCCTACTTGTTTCATTCATAGAAATCCTTTAAATGATATGGAAATTGATGATGAGGTAAAAATGTTGTTTGCTCAAATGTTTAGTTTGTCTTGTTACACTTTTTCCCTAATTACTTACAGTATGAATTTTTGAGCTCTTAAGTGTTGTGAAATCTAGAGGTGATGACATTACCTTGTACTTTAAATTAATGATTACAAATATTAATATGAGTTTGAATGAGTTTGCACGAATTTTTGGCCTAAGCAATAATTTTATTCACAAATCGCCGCCCGAATATATCGTCATAAGAGAACTGTGACTCCCTCCATCATCTGTATGCCACTCGAATCCACCACCTTGTCTCTAAGGTTTGGCACTGGTTTGCCGGCTTTACTATTTTTAGGAGGCATGAGCCTCAAAATGTTCATAGTGAGGAATTGGCCATTTTCGGTAGTTATGTTTACCGAACAACTAACCATACAAAATTAATTTTGCGCACCAACTTGCAGTCCACCATAAGGAGATAGCTAAGGCACCTCACTGCTGTCCCATTTACTTGGGTGGCTTGATCTCCCACATTGCTTTTGCTAAGATCGGTTTCGTTGAAACTGAGCATGTCCTGGTCCTGGTCCTATCCAATTCGATCTAGCCTATTACAATAGTGTACATGGGTTTGTAATAACTGTACTCCTACAAAGCAATAAAAACTAAGCTAATTGCATCTAAGGATATACTAAGGTCTATCAAAGTAAATACAATTTCTCACTATCATTAGACTCCACAAATGACTTCTTTATATCTCTGTAGGAGTCATTTTTACTCTATAAATAATTATGGCATTCCTCCAGACCCAAATGCTATAAATTGCTTCAGCAATAGCCATCAAATAAAATATACTAGTTGCACTCGTTTTTTTGGCAATCTTAATTGCAATATGCACTTCTTCTCTGAAAGACTTGATCTGCCTTCTCACCTGCAACACATTGAGCACATATGTCCAGACTTCAGCTGATGAGCTGAGAGAGAGCAAGAGAAGAACTAATGTTCAATGCTCTCTGGAGCCTGATCATATAACTGCAGCTTTGCACACATTCAATGCCCCAACTAGTGATTCTGTCTTTAGTGGGTAGTATATGCAAGACAGTCATCCATAAAGTGAATACAATTTTAGGACAAGCTTTAATATTACAGACCACCCTTCTCCACATCACCTTCTCATATGGTCCTTGAAGCTTCTGTTACATAAGTTTGATTGAGAAGCCATCTCTACTGTTATCTGCATTCCACCCACCAACCTTACCAATGTAGTCTCTACATCTCTAAATTTTCCTCTCAAGCCATGAAGCGTGGAATAAGCATAGTGAAGACATCCCTTTCCTTGATATAGGCATAGTGGAATAGGCATATGTGAATTCATTCGACCGAAAGCTTGTCCTTTCTGTAAGCTAATGCCAAATGGAGTTTGGTAAGGGCAGCCTTATTCCACACATGAAGGCATTTCATAATGCTGTATGAACTGTGTCATCTCTTTAGTATCCTACTTAAGATAATGTCTCGTGTGGCTGTGTCTGAAGTTTGTACTGTGATGTGTCTGACAGAATAACATGTTTGTGACTCCTGCTCCTGTACTTTGATGTGACAACCTTTACATTGTTCACCTTTTGACTTCTGATTAGTCTATATCATCTCTTAATCGCATATGATCTGTTGCAATGTGTATTAGGATGACATCAATTTGTGTTTAATTTTCAATTGTTTGGCAGTGACAAGCGTCCTAGCCGAATCCCTTATCCTCTCTCTATAGCTATGGTTCTAGGTGTGTGTGCTCTGGTGTTTTCCCTTGTTATGTTTGTCAAAGGAGGGCCTTCATCAATTTTGGCTGCTATTGCAAAGACCGGATTTACTGCTGCATTCACATTAATATTTGTCTCGGAAATTGGGGATAAGGTATACATTTTTGTAACAAAGCTTTTATCTGTTCTTTTGAAATTATATTGGTCTGCAGTCTGCACTCTGCAGTTTTATTTGAGTCTGTGATTTAAATTAGAAAAATCACCAGGAGTGTATCACATTCCTTGATCACATCTTCTTTTGATTTGAGTATATAATGTTAATTACAGATGGCTAGTTACTTTGCTAACCTAAATTTGAAAATAATGTTGAACCCATGTTTTTTTATTTTATTTTTTTTTATAATTGAAACATCAAGATAAATAGTTTTCCATATGAACTGGCCAGCATTACTGTGCTGCTATAATAGTAGATGTGATATTATAATTATGTTTGAGCTCTTGTTTGGTCATCAAGGAGGATCTCCTCTGTACTAAATGTCTGGGTTTATGATAATGACATCCTCCTCCTGGGCTGCTTGTAAGGACTTTAGTGATTAGTTCTTATAAATGATCTCTTTTAGGAGCATCTCATGATTCTTCTTAGGTTCTAAATTAGCTAGCGTTTTTCGATAGAATCTCTTGGTGTGGCCAGGGTTGATGCTGCTTAGATATGTTTGGAGGACAAGTTCAATAGAGTTAATGTGTGGTACAAACATATTTGAGATTGAATTATGACCAAATATTAATGGCAACTCCATTTATGTTAGATACCTCTCTGCTAGGCATCTTCAGAACTCATTTTAGAGGCTAACAGTAATTAGGGAAATGAATCTTTGACTGAAGAGCCTTAAAATTTGAAAAAATGCAAAATTCATGGGGACTTAATAAGAAAAAATTCTGTCTTTTGACTTCACTTATGTATTTTGACTGCCTGCCTATAGAAGTGCTTCTAAGAGATAATAACATTTTGGAAGAATTTGTTACTCCTACATGGGTAAACCAAAGAAGAGATAGAGGTAAAAAAAAAAGTTGAAGGAAGCAAAATATGTGCCTTTTCTGTCAATGTTCGCCTAGCCTTTTCCACTCAATTCTAGTGTTTTGAGTTTTTCCACTTTCATGTGCTCTTATATGTTGAGGTAGTGTATTGAGTTTCAAAAGTTTAGGGTAGGTGAGTGATAAATTGAATGCTCTTTGGGTACATGCGTTCAAATTCATTTGGTTTTCATTTGTTTATGGACACCCTTAGGGCATGCTTGGAATGCTAGTAAGAAGGGAGGAAAATTTATTGGAAGAAAAATATCTGACGTTTTTGAAATGCCTAATTTGGAGATAGAATTGTAAAAGGGTAACATGTTCCCCTCAAAATAGGGGTACAAGTTATCATGACCCCCTAGGGCTATGTTTCTCGGACTCGGGTACCCATGTCCGACACGAGTATGTGTCCAAGTGTCCGACTCGGCTATATTGTTAAAAAATTATATGATTTTGTGCTAAAATGAAGTGTCCAAGTGTCATACCCATGTTCGAGTGTCGAGGGTCCGGCGCGGGTACTTGAGGTGAAATGAAGAGCCCGAGTAACATAGCCCTAGGGTAACTCCCCCCTCTGAATAATTATCTAGCTTCCTCCTTTTTCCTCGCGCCATTTCATCTCACTCCTCCTTGCCATTCTCCTCGACCTTTGTCTTGCTCTACCTTAATCTCTCTCCTTGTTCTCTCAATTCCCAATGAGCTTATCGTCGAAAATTAAGTGGGTAAAATCTTACTCTATGGTGGTCAAAATTGACCAAAGATTTCAAATCAAAACCTTCAATGTCAAACTGACCACCATGGAGCTTGATTTTTCCCACAAAAGACTCTCAGTTGCGATTTCAATATTTCTCTCTTTCCTCTCTATTTTGCGGTGGTTTGTGAGGTGATATAATTTGCAATAGTTTGCATTGCGGTGGTTTATATGATAGGGCTTTTTTGCTGTGATTTTTGTGGTGGTAATGGCTGGTGTTGTCGGTAGTAACGATTGATGGTTGCATCTGTCGTGTCCTCTCTCCATTTGGACCTGTTCTCTTCACCTGAAATAAGGTGGTTGGGTGTGAATCTGATCTTAATTTTTCTGATTTGGTCTAGTTTGTTTTGATGCATTATTTTATTAAACTTTGACTGCGTTTTTAATCTAATCTATCAGGAAAAAAAAAAAAAATCAATTTGGATCTTATTAGGATCGTCTCATCAATCATGTACTTTTCAAATATATAATTTTCATAATTTATTTTAAATACACAATTAAAGATATTTAGCAATTAGTAAACAAGAATTAAAGGTTCTGATCTAAATATTTCCGGTCTGATCTAATTTGATTTTGACAAGAATAAGAAATGAGTATCTAAAATAAGTTAGAGAGAAAAAGTCCTTTCTCCATTGTAGACAACTTTGTTCATTACCCTTGAAATAATGCCAAACTTGAGCAAATGAAAATATTATCCCTTTAATTGATCCTCTAGTAAAATTTATACCCTTAAAATTACTCCCTTAACTATTTAAGAGAATCCAGGCAAGCCTTAAGGATTCAATTAGAGAGCTTAAACTAATTAGGGAAACGAGGTTGCGACTAAAGAACCCTGAGAACCGATCTGCCCTTTTTTTCCCATTGGAGTAACAAGTTCTGGAATCTGGCTTTGGTTTGAAGTATACAAGTTGTTATTAAAGTAGCTTCATTTCTGGTACCATCAAATTGCTTTATAGGACTAATAGCTTTTGGATGAGTATCCGGCTTATAGAAACAACTTGAAAAGTACATTGATTTTAATAGGAAAGCAAAAAATGTAAACAAACCAGTTGATTCTGACATGAAGCTAGATTTTCTTATGATTAATAAATATCATTTGCTGGCTTGTTACGACTCATTTCTGCTGTTATGAATTGCTTTGTTCTTTTTTAAAGTTTAACTGCAATGTATTCCTTTTTGGAAGTTGCAAATTAGTTGCAACATTACTTTATTTGGCCAATTGATTCTCTCTATCTTTCTCCTTATCACATGGGTCCACCTATTTGCTCTCTCTCTCTTTTCTCTCCTAAATAATTATGTATCCCCTCCACTTTACATGTTTACAATTAAAAGAGAACGGAGGAAGTATGTCAGTTTCATGGGCTCCTGATGCTACTCATTTTGTCAGTTCCTGCTCTATACAGCCCTTCTAATTTAGCTTTTGCATTCTCTTTACATAACTCTTGCATTTTGAAACACAAGTATATAAGCATTTTCTTGTTTTGAAAGTAACCTTCCATACACAGCGATTGGCTTCTGTTGTCTTAGGCATGACTAGTTAGTTTCCAATGTGATGTAAAGTTATTAAAATCAAGATTCTACTTTGAGGGCCTTTAGAATTGAATTGTAAAATCGAATCAAGTACATTATACTCAAATTTCATTGAATATGTTTGTATTATAAGTTAAAAACCTAACTACTGATAGAAAATAGTTGTTTACCCACTAAACAGCCAATAATTGACAGTGCAATTATTAATAACTTTGTAGGCATGTTTTAAATTTGTAAGGTTTTTGTTAGTTAAAAGAAATATGTAAAATCGGGTACAATTGTAATTCGAATCACATGGCCGTACAACAATCGTAAGACTCTAAGATTTAAAACGCGATTTTAATAACTATGGATGTAGGATTATTGGCTGTTAGAAGTGAACGAAAAGAGCCTTTTAATCAGAGTTGGAATATAGCTCTTTTGAAATGCATATTTTACCTACTGTTTATGGAAGGTTTTTACATAATATACTGACAATGTTCAGTATAATGTTTAACTGTAATAGGCCTGAGATCAGATAAACTCGTGCAATTTTCAGATAAATGTTATATTTTCATTTTGTATACCCTTAGACTTCCTCTGGAATGTTATTTTGTGAAATGGAAATATTGATAAGTTGCTTTGTGTCCTTGGAACAGACATTTTTTATTGCTGCTCTCCTGGCCATGCAGTATAAAAAAGGACTGGTATGATTCTCTCTCTCGCTCTCTCAGTGTGTGTGTGTGTCTGCGCGCGTGTATGTGTATTTGTGAGCATACTCAACACACGCACTCATTTTTCACATTCATGACTGCATTTTAAGTTATTAAACTTATGTACAACATTGAATTCTTTCAATAACAGCTTTCTTGTAAATGCCAAAATGAAGGTCATGTCATTTTGCTAATAACGTATCACATATAAACTCATCCTAAGGTCTGATGCTTTCATGTATTCTACTTGGCAGGACAGCTAATAATACTATAATAGTACATGACTACATATTGATGCTCAATCTCTCATAAGGTGGATGATGTACCACCTTAATGTAAAATAATAATGGAACATTAGAAATTTGAGTATCTGTAATCAGTGAGCTCTAATAAAATTTGAATTTATAAATGACAGCCTTCTTTACATTAGAGTGTGTAGGTGACACTTTTTAGCCATTCTACAAGAAGTCTCCTGTTTCCTCTTTATATAAGCAGAATAATTTAGGCATAGTTTCACATGTGCTTTTTGCTCAGGAATAGTCAAGAGGATGCCAGTTAATTTTACCTCTTTTCTTTGTGTTGAAATTGGTTGTCAGAATTCAGGCATGAAAAGTTGAATTTTTATAAAAAGGATACGCTTTGCCAGATAACATGAAGAGCAGAGTGGAGAAATCACTAGATTAGGTGGAATACTTTTTAACCCAGTCCACTGTTTTCAATTAGGGTTGAATTTGTCAAAGAGGATCTTTTCCCGAGATTTGCATGACACCAAAGAATTGTGTGCCCCGTGTAAAGATCGTCTATTTATCTGTTTGGGACATGTGATGTTATACTTCCTAATCAAGCAGTATAGGGTTAAAAAGACGGATTGAAAGGAACATCTTATAATTAAAACATGCAGTAAATCAGTCTAACGTTTCATAAATCTATCAATGATGAGTTGGCCCTTGAGAAGTGACAACCACAAGTCATGTAGAAAATCGATGAAGCTTGAGAAACTGAAAAAGGAAAAGAGTAAGCTTATCTGACTAGGCCATGCCAAGGTTTATGATAACATGGATTGATGCACTAAATAAGCGTAAGATATATTACTAGAACCTTGTTACTCTCTCTGTTGCTAGCGCATGTTTACTTATTCAGAAATTAATAAATAGCCTTCAACCATGTTTCTAGTGCACTAGTTTTGCTAGTGCTTAATTGCTTATTGTGTCACTAGTTTCTCCAGGTATATTACAGAGTGGATATCACTCTATTGGAAGGTTCAAAAAGTTATGGTAACTGACTTCTGTCTGCGGGGTATCTAAGTTTTGTTCACCTTGAACTTTTGGGTCGCCATTCTGTGGAGCTACTATATTACAGTGTTGAATGTAGCTTTTTCATTGCACAAGTCCTTTTTCTGCGTCATGATTAACTGTTAAAGCATTTTCTAAAGGGAGGATGATCACAGGAATTTAGTGTACTTCCACTGATGGAAATCATATGTTACAGTCTTTTTTTTCATGAAACAGGTGCTGTTAGGATCAATGGGTGCCCTTGGACTGATGACCATCCTCTCTGTGATTATAGGACGAGTATTTCAGTCTGTACCGGCTCAATTTCAGACAAGTATGTGTTTAATACCTCATATTTGAGGAATCATGTTTGTAATTGTTGGCCTAACTTATGTATGCACTGTGTCAGGGAGTCAGGCTCATGAAACCACCTTTTCTATTTTTCTTGGGAAATTCTCATGTTGCCTCTAACAATTGCTACGCTTGATTGGTAGCCCCTTTTTTTGTAAAAAAAAAATATTCATAAAATGACCCTAATTCAGTTTTTATTCACTTAAAGCGTTTATAAGACCTAAATGGATTAGTTTTCACTAAACTGCAAACCATGGTTAACCTATAAATAAATTTCTTAAATGGCCCTACAATCCTCAGCTTTCTCCCTACTTACACCACTTTACAGCATCAATCACCGCCACCGCACAACTGTTAGTAAGACCCTTTTTAGCCCAGCACAGTACACCAATCACTCTCCCTCCTTGATTTTAATTCATGGGTTTCGAGTACTGCTTTCGAATCCAAGGAGGTTTTACAAATTACAACCATCAAGAACACATTTAAGTATTTGAGAATCTGAAAAAGATGTCATATAGAACCTGTTATGAATATACTTAATCTGGCAATTTCTTAAGATATCTATTTTATACATTTCCAACGACACAAATGAAAAGGGCAATGTAGTTCAATTTGAGTTGCAATTAAACCATTTAAGAAGGCAATAAAAAAAAAAAATGACTTTTTTCGCCTTTTTTTTTTCTTCCCATTTTTGTCTTAATCACTTTAAACCATTTAAAAGTCTTCAATTTTCCATTAACTACAACCAAAGACAATAAGGGAAGCAGAAAAAAGAATGGGGAGCAGCTAATATCGGGAAACTAATTAAATAAATAAATTTTTACAAAATTGATTGATGAAGAAACGGAGACCTGATATAGTAGCAGGAGTAGGCAGGAGTATAAAACTGGAACAAAAGCGACAAGAAACCCTAGTGAATTATATCCTCAACACTATTCTCTCTCTCTCTCTGTAATAGACTAATCTAAGGAAGGGTAGTATGGGCATTCCGGTAATATTAGTTTATTAGGTTAGTAGTTTTAGCCTTAGTATAAATAGAGAGAGGGGAGAAAGGAGAAGGTAGGCAGAAATTTTTATTGAAGGGAGACCTTATAGAGTCATGGCCTCAAGTCATTGTTAGAGAGTGATAGCCTCTAGCTATTTTGAGAGTGATAGCCTAAAGCTATTAACCCTATCATTTTGTAACCCTTCCACCATTATCAATCAAATATTAAAGCTTTCGTCTCTATTATTTCCTCTTATTCAAGCAATTTACAAAAATCAGATTATCTAGTTTAATCAAAACCAATCTTTCTCTGTATTTTTACTGTTATATGCGTAAGTTAGCAGTAAGACCAGTTCATTACACTCTCTCATCCAATTCTGCTCCTGCTTTTAAAAAAACTCAGATTGCTTGGTGATGTTGGACACTTAGGCGTTAACGGAGGAAAGGAAATGGTGTTGGGCTGGTGGTTGGGTGTTGCTAATGGAGGTGGGTGGCCTGATTGGGGGACGAAGATAGAGAAGGGTGGGGGTTTGAGGGTTTTATTTTTATTTTTATTTTTTTTATTATTTTTTTAAGAAATAAAAAATATACTAACCATGTTTAGTTTTTTGATTAAAAACTTAAGAAACAACTCTCACTAATACAAGTTAGAATAACAGTTTAGTACTTGTCATATGAATACCAAGATAATCTATTTGATTCTACTTATTAGAGCAGATGGTCCTAAAACTTGAACAAATTAAAGTATGTCTTGGAGAATATCATTCTTGGACTTGGGATTTCATGCTGATTGTTCTTATGACATTGTAGGTCCTAACAATATTGATCGTAAGAAATACTACGTCCTGTTTTGCTGAGTTTTACTTACTATAGCTACGCAAACCAGGAAAAGAAATAATGAGGACCATACATTGGGTACTTTTGTATTAAAGAGGAGAAAGATAGAGAGTAAGAGATTTATTAAATAAAATTGGCCCCACAAAGTGGGGTTTTTAGATGATAAAAAGTGAATAAAAAGTTGTCATAAAAGGAATAAAGTAAAAGTGAGTAGAATTTAGAAAAACGGATGAAAACAGAAAGTGAGTAAGTCTTAGAAAAATGGAGGTAGTATAATATTCAGATAGTATTAATATGCGCGCATAACATAGTGTAGTTCAAGTTTTTTAATTATGTATATTAGATTATACTTGGGAAAAAAAAAAAACCTTCATGGCTCCTTGTTACTTTTTCTTACCTATATAGAGAACTTAGGGGGTGTTTGATTGGGGCTTTTGGAATGAATTGGAATAATGTCAAATCCATTCCGATGTTCAGTCGGACATTTAATGCTGTGGAATATCATAATATTTGTATCTAACTCTATTCCAACCCCCTAAAATCTCATACCTAACTCACCCTCTAAGATTCTAAAATCTAAATTCATACCATTATGTATGGGATCCCAATCCATTCCATTCTATTTAGAGAGAGAATAGTGGGTGTATATTTCTAATTAGAAAGTAAGGGATGTGAGAGAAAAGTAACGAAAAATTTGAGAGTATGGACCATAAGATGAGAGATTTAATAATTAAAAAAAATGTAGAAGATTTCCATTTGAAGGAGTATATATTAGATAATGGGTCAGTCTTGCATTGAGCTCTTTAAACATATAAAAAGTTTGATGCTAATCATGTATGGTCTCCTTTTCAGCTCTTCCGATCGGAGAGTACGCTGCTGTGACTCTTCTGCTATTCTTTGGCTTAAAGTCAATCAAAGATGCATGGGACCTTCCAGCAGATGATTCCAAAGATGAAAATAAAGATGGCTCTGAACTTGGTGAATATACTGAGGCTGAGGAGCTTGTGAAGGTGAATTTCAAAACACCGAATTTTATTTTCACGATACTTATAGATCACATATTTTTATTCTTCAAAAAACACCTTAACTCTCACTTCTTTCTAAGCTTACTATTACCTCTGTCTCATTTGCACCATTTCTGAATTAATAAATTTACTGCTCTAGTACTGGACCCTTAGGCTCTCAAGTGAATCTCTTTGACTAGGGGTGAAAGTTCGGTGTTCGGTTTGGATTATGGCCCAAACCGAAGCCAAACCGAAATAATTCGGTTTTACATTTTTCAATCCAAATCCACACCGAATTTTAATTCGGTCCAAACCAAACCGAACCGAATTTCTGATTAGCAAACCGAAACCGATCCATAAACCGAATTTTTTACCAGATGCAAATTGAAGTATAAGAAAACTAAGCAATCTTTATAATTATAAACATAAAATTACACAAACTAAACTGAGAATTAATTACATACAATCAACCATTATAAATTTGTCCACCGATTAAAAAAGAAATTAAATAAATAAATCAGATCTTCTGCTTCATGCATTCCTTCAATAATTTGGCTCAAAACCTCAGATCTATTCATTTCCTAATATAATTTCCTTTGAGTTATAAAAAAAATTAAATAGAAAAATAAAATCTTCTGCTTCTGCACCTCTTTACTAATATCATTTCCTTTTGAGTGACTGACCAGAGAGGTGGTGGTGAGGAGACGTGGTGGTGGTCGGCGGTGAAGTGGTGGTGATATGAGGGAAAACGAACAATGAAACACGAGCGGCCAGCGAACAACTTTGAGATACGTTGAGAGCACAAACACCGAAACAAGAACTGGTGGTGAGATACCTTAAGTGGACTTCTAGAGTGGTGGTGGACGGACAGAGTGAGGTGGTGAGGGAGAAAAGTGGGGAAATCTAGGGATTTGGTGAGGAAGGTGCCGAGAGAAAGTGAAAGGGAAATGGGAAAAGAGGGGAACAGTTTAGGGTTTTGGATATACATATGTAGGAAAATGGGTTGGGATTAGTGGGCTTAATAAACTTCGGTTTGGTTTTCGGTTTTCGGTTTTTCGAATCCCAAAACCGAATCCAAACCGATATATTTCGATTTCCATTTTTTCAAACCGATCCAAACCGAAAACCGAAAAAAACCGAACCGAATTGCTTATTCGGTTTGGTTTGGTTCGGTTTTCGGTTTTTATCCAATTTACTTTCACCCCTATCTTTGACTCCATTGTGTCCAATTAATTATATTTTCCTTCAAAGTTTCTAATTAGGACTTTGTTTGCTCTAACATAACAAATTAAATTCTCTACTTTTTATTGGGTTTACAATTGTTTCGTTTACTTTGTTTAATCTATATCAAGTATATAGATTAGATCTTATAAATTTATTAGCCCCCTCCCTCTGAGGATTAACTTCTCTGTAATGACACAATGGAGTTCTTGCTGCAAAACCAAATTTCTCTAATCATCCTACCCTCCCCCCCCCCTTCCTAAAAAAAATCCTAAAAGGTGAAAAGCTGTAATGATAATCATTGCATTAGTGAATGATAGCCTATTTTTACTGTGCAGGCTTCAAAACGACTGACAAACCCATTTGAAATTCTGTGGAAGTCATTCTGCCTTGTGTTCTTTGCAGTGAGTATATAATCGATCGTAAGTAGCTGTATTTATAATAATTTCATTTTGCTGAAACATGCTTACACTTTTGTTTCTGAGGAATGGGGTGATCGCTCAATGCTTGCTACCATCGCCCTTGGTGCTGCACAGGTACGATATAGACCTAGCATTCATATGTATAAACTTGTATGCATCCATAAGGTTTACAATTATATCTTAACTACTTAACTTTCAGTCTCCATGGGGCGTGGCAAGTGGAGCCATAGTGGGACACCTAGTTGCCACATCTGTTGCAGTTCTTGGAGGAGCATTTCTTGCCAAATACATTTCTGAAAAGCTGGTAGGTCACTGAAGTGTTTCTGCTGTTAAATTGTGCTATCTTGCTGCTCTTATTTATCATGCTCACTATATTTCCCTTTAGGTTGGCTACTTGGGAGGAGTCCTATTTCTTCTTTTTGCTGTAGCAACATTCTTTGGATTCTTTTAGTTCCTCGTGACATAACAGAGTCGAAGGATATTTTCCAAGATATTATATTCAAAGTGTTTATCTTCAAAAAGGAAATCTTCAGAAGATTTGTTCCCCAGATCAGGAACTCCTCCCCACTGACACATTAGTTGGATTGTGCAAGTAGAATCTATCAGCTTTATAGCCAGCTTGGAAATGTTCATACAAGTTACGCCATGCCAATTCAGCAACAGAGCACCTTAAGTAGGAAATTTGACAAATTCCAATAACCAGGTAAACAAAGTGAAACCTGTGAAGTATAGGTATTCATTGTTACTAATAAAATTTTTGTGCCTTCCTATGTATGACATTTATTTAAATTGCCATCTTGCAACAACCATTTTTGTATACATAATGATTTACCATGAATAAACAAGAGAGTTTTTTAAGTGTTATACGTTTCATTTTTTGGCATATATGGCATTATAGCTACATTACTCTTGATACAGAAATGTATGTCACAGATCGGATGGAATTTGGGAATTTCATCCCTCAGTAATCTTCCATCATTTTTATCAGATGCAGAGAGTTTGTTTAAATGGTTTTGAAGTATTACTTTTGAGAATTGTGGGATGGGGAATTGATAAGGAAAATTAATTAATATAATCCCAATTTCTTGTTTTTAAACCTGGAGGTGCTTTCATATACACCATCTTGGAAGTCCCATGAAGGCTAGCGACTAGCGTTGTGGGATATGCATTTGATATACTTCCCAATTTTTGCAGCTGCCACAGCCAAAAAAGTACAAACAGTCACCATTGTTGTCATTGGAACAAACATCACATAATAGTCCACCCCCCCGAATTGAGATCTCTAGAAATCACAAGTCTTGCTTTCAAGTGTTTTGAACTCTCATTAGGGTTTTTAATTCTGTACACACTTGCTTCCAAGGGCTTTCTTCCTGGGCAGCATTTTCCCAATGATCCATGTGTCATTTTGTTCTAGTGCTCGTATCTCCACACCCATTGCATCACACTAACCGGAAACTTTTAGGCTCTTTCCTTACTATCACAGTTGCAACAAATTTCCGTTTCTAACAGAACCATTCACAAATATGCGCTACTGACTCCAACTAGCAAACTTATCACCATCAAGTCGATTATTAGCATAGCACAAACAACCATATGTTTCATATAATTTAGGCGTTTAGCACCTTTTCTGGCGTTTCTAGAAATTACCAAGCAATTTGTGCTAGAGACTAATGCTTCTTGTGGAGGAATAGAGGTTACAACAATTCTGGACACTCCTTAGTTTTTTCTAGAACTATCATTCCTCGAAGGCAAAAGCTTTCATTATATGAAAAAAGAACTACTGTGTTTGCTCATTGCAGTGCTAAAATAGGAGCACAACCTATCTAGTCAAAAGTTTATTATACTCCGTAATAACTTATCAGAATGGCTCTTATCATAAAATTCGCAACACCGATTCAGCAGTTTGATCTAGTTGTCTAAGTTAAAGTGATTTGTCTTTGATAAACAAATACTAAAGTGGTGTTCGAAACTGGGGGCAAATGCTTTGGTTAGAATGTCTGGTTTCAAGGTTTAGATCATGGCCTAATCAATTTTAACTCATAATCACTTAAGTTGATACACGACGGTTGTGAGTTACATGAGAATGTGAAGGCCTTATTAGAGAAGCTTGGACAAGGGAAGAGATGATTAATACTTTGCCATTCCACTTGAACAGGGCGCAAGATGTATAGGCGAAAACTCTTGTTGATCAAAAGGAGGTCTAAATAGGAAGTTTGAGGTGAATATCTGAGTCAGGCTTACTATTAGCTGGTCTCGAGACCAGGTATAATACTTCCTCCATTCTACTAATATTGCAACAAGGATGAAATTGCGCATCCCTAATCACATTTTATATGTTAAATATTTATAATTCTATAAGTATAAAAATTATAAAAAGTTGATATTGTGTAAGTATTTTACGAGACGAATCTAACAAGATCCCACATGAATATATTTTACTTATCTAAATCATAACATGTGGTCAAACAAGCATGATAAATAGTGCAAAAGTCCAGTTGTTGCAAATTTGCAATATTACTAGAGCGGAGGAAGTAATATGGTTCCTCATTCTCACTATTGATTTGTATTTTTTCATTTTTCAAAAACCAAATGTAGTCATTTTCTCTCTCCAACAACCCACATTATCTCTCTATTTCCTCTCAAAAACACCATTATCAATCATAAAAAAATCTAAGATCTCAAATTTTGTGTTATCAAAAACTACTAAATCATGGATATTCAACAAAAAAAATTCAAGGTGCAAACAAAGAATTTTAATTTTTACTATTTTCTTCTATATTTCATAATACTAGAGCAAATTTGTTGAATAATTAGCGGTATTTCACCAAATGCCACTGATCACTTTAATAATTCACCAAATGCCACCAAGTTTTAAAAAAATTCACCGAGTGCCATTAATGACTGACGACCGTTAGTTGGCCGTCAGTTGACCCCACCACTTGCCACACGTGTAACCTTCTAATTGGTCTGTTTTTAAAAAAAAATACTTAAACAAAAATTTAAAAAAAAACCAAAAATATTTTAAAAAATTAAAAAAATAATAATAAAAAAAAAACCACCAAATCCCCACCCACCACCCCACCCCATCTACCACCCTCACTGGCAGCTAGGCCGCCCACCCCACCCTAAACCCCTCCCGGCTGCCGAAGACCGAAGCCCCTACCGCCGGCGACCCTCACCGGCAAGCGTGCCGACGGCCTCGCCCCTTCCTCATTCCCTCTCCGTCATCTTTCCACCACCATAAAAACCCACGTTCAAGCTCGAAGGCAAGAACACAACATGCTCATTTCTTCACCACTTTCTACAAAATTACTATCAAAATGCTCACAATCAAGAATGCAACAACATGGGACAAACAATTTCATCAAACAAGCATCACACGAGAAAGCCCCAAACCGATTTTTCAAAGGGGTTTTTGAATTTTTCACAAATTTGCATGAAATTCGACAATGAAGCAAGGATTATACATGGAAATACTTACATTGCAATGAGAAGAAGAAATTACACACAAATTGCAAAGCAAACCAGCGGAATTCGAGGCAAAAAACGAGCACCCACGAATTGAAAAGGGGTTTCAGGTTGTGTGGATAGGTGGCCAGAAACGAAAAGGGGAGGGGAAGGATGTTTTAGGTGGGGTGGCCGGAAAACGAAAAGGGGAGGGGAATGGGGTATTGGGTGGGGTTGCCGGAGTCGAAAAAGGGAGGGGAATGGCTGGGAGGTTGCCGGACTTTCGCTCTCCTCTTCGCTGTGCTTCTCCCTCCCCTTCCCCTTCACGGCGGCAGGGGAGCTGGCCTCGACTGGCTCCCTGGCGGCTGACTTTTTTTTTTTTTTGTTATTTTAAGATTTTTTTTTTAAATTGAACCAATTATATCATGACATGTGTCATGATTAAACCCTAATGACTAAACAGAGTTAACGGCCGTCAGTCATTAATGGCACTCGGTGAATTTTTTATAAAACTCGATGGCATTTGGTGAATTTTGAAAACCTTGATGGCATTTGGTAAATTATTAAAGTGCTCAATGTCATTTGGTGAAATAGCCGAATAATTAGCTATTGAAGAGTATATTCATAATGTTCAGATTAATACTGAACAAATTTGTGAATAATTAGCTATTGAAGAGTATATTAATAATGTTCAGATTAATACTAATTTTGCTCTAGTATTATAAAATATAGAGAAAATAGTAAAATTACCTTTCTGTAAAGGTTATTATTAAAATTCTTGTTTGCACCTTGGATTTTTTGTTGAATATCCATGGTTTAGTAGTTTTTGATACCACAAATTTGAGATCTTAAATTTTTTGAAGATTAATAATGGTGTTTTTGAGAGGAAACAGAAAGAGAAAATGACTACATCTGGTTTTTGAAAAATGAAAAAGCACAAATCAATAATGAGAGTGAGGAACATCAATGGTTATTTGATGCACCCTGGTACAAGGTGCATAACGTCTATAATATGAACATTTAATAAAAAAATAAATATGAACACATTACAAAAAATGAACATTAGTAAAAAAAAAAAAATGAACACGCGCGTTACCAAAAATGAATATTAAGTAAAAAAAAAATTATGAACATGCCACATAAAAAAATGGACATTAAGTAATAAAATATGAACATGTAATTTTAGTAATAAAAAACGAACGATTAGTAAACTAAAAATGAATATGATCATGCCATATAAAATGAACATTTAGTAAAAAAAAATAAAGAACAATTAGTAATAAAATAATGATCACGTAAAGACAATGAACATTACACATTATAATTATAAAAATGAACATAAACATCCAATTTTATAAGTTCATATTTATAAAGAAATGTTCAATTTATATGCTCTAAATGTTTAGTTTATATTACAAAAGTATTGAATTATATCGAGTCAGACTAAATTCTTTCAAAAAATTGAAGTTCATTATAAAATAGTGTTGTGTTCATATTTAAAATTTCAATGTTTATTTTCAAACAATATATGTTCAAATCCGAGTAGTATCATGTTCATATTTGTTGATGCTCATTGTGAAATAGCGTAATGATTATATTTAAAAATTTCAATGTTTATTTTCAAAAATTATATGTTCAAATCTAATAGTGTCATATTCATATTTTATATATTCATCTTCAGAAACTATAGTCTAAAATTTTATATATATAATTGTTAACGAAAAATAGATCATAATTAATTCATTATAAATTCTTTTATGTTCATTATAATGTGCTAAATGTTCATTTGAAAAATACTAATTGTTCATTTTATATATCAAATTCCAATTGAGGTTCATAAGTCCTTAACCCAAATTAACTTATGTTTATATATTAATCTAACTCAAATGTTCATAAAAAAGATATACATGTTCAGATATCTAACATAATAGGTTCATAATTACAAAAATTAAAAATGTTTTAAAAATACATAAATCGAAAACAAAATAAATTTTCGTATGCAAATAATCACATGTTCAGATATATAAATTATAAAGTACAAAATGCCAAAATTTTAAAAATGATTAAAAATACATAGATCTAAAACAAAAAATAAAAGTTCATAAGAAATGTATCACATGTTCAGAATTATAATTAAGATATTAAAAATTCCAAAAATATATGTCGGTAAAAATATATATTTATAGGAAACGTATCATACGTTCATATCTTTAACTTAAAATGTTCAAAATACCAAAATATAACCAAATATAGATTTGTTCATAATAAAATACACAAATATCACACAAACTCAAGCATTGATTAAATCTAACTAGATCAAAACATCATAAATAAGTGTGACTTAGCTACACCAACTATATGAAGAGGTCAAAGATGAATTTGTCATAACAATTAAGAAAAGATATTCTAAAACTCATCCTCTAACCTAGCGATGGCGATTTAAACAACGGAATGTCATCAGAAAAT